GTGAATGATGCTAAAGAATAAGTTGGATTCACTACTGGACAAAGAGATGGTATTTCTTCTATGCAATTTGGATTTTTTTTTCTTTAATACTCTATTTATTTTGACTTAAAATATGACAAAAGTTTACATTGAGATTGAAGCTGAGTTCATCGAGCGAAACATTTAAAATAACTTATCAAAAATTAATGAATAAAATTATTTTTGTTAAATTTTTTTAAAAAATTATAAATATTTTATGACAATTAAACACCAAAAATAAAAATTTTAAATCTAAACAAATGGAGCCTAAAATATTAGGCTTTTTTTTTAACATTCTAACTTTCAAAAAATAACATTTTCTTTATACATTATATAGAGAATGACTAGATTTTCCCTCACCAAATAGATGGATGTACTATTTAATAGTTAGTCCGTTGGATTCATATATTGATTACTTTGTAAGATAAAACAACAACATAACAAGGTAAACGAATTAAAAAAATAAAAGAAAGAAAAAGAAAAAAGAAAAAAACAGTTGTAACTTCATAAATTTTACCCATAGTATTAAAATTGAAGCACCCCATTACATCCATCATATATTTATATATATATATATATACATACACAAATAAATATTATTATAATTATTTTACCCATAGTATTAAAATTGAAGCACCCTATTACATCCATCATATATATATATATATATACACACACACACAAATAAATATTATTATAATAATTTGGAATAATTACATAAACCTACGATTTCGTCAACAGACGTTGTTGCCAAATTTCAATGACTTGTAAGAGCACCTCTAATGGTAAAATGCTTAAATCGGATGTCAAATCTATATTTTGACAGTGCTACAGTGTCAAAATATTACATATTAGCAATTCTGCTCCAATGATGCATTTTATGCAAAATGCTATTTTTTGACATAACCACTATTCTTTTTCAACTACCATTCCCACCATTCATATTTACATCAGTAATGTTAATATTAGGCACAAGTCAAGTTGTAGACATTAGAAGGAAACTAAAATTAAACTTAATTAAAAAGAATCAAATATAATATATGGTCAAAAAAAGACCAATATATATATATATATATAAATTTATATATTTGATTATATTGTTATATAAATTTTTTTATATAATTTTTTTTTCTTTGTCGAAAATATATATATTTAATTATATTATCATTAAAAATATATATATATTTAGGGCAAATCATTTTAGCCTCCCAAATAGCCAAATATAGTTTTAGGGCAAATCATTTCAGCGTCTCCAATCGCCTCCATCTCTATTCTTGTTCTCAACTCAACTCTGTATTCTTGTTCTCAACTCAACTCTGAAATTGCCCCCCCCCCCCCAGCCCCCCCCCCCACCCTCCCTCTTTCTCTCTGCAACTGCAAACTACAAAATCAACAAGAATCAGAAGTTCAAAACCCATATCTTTCAGTTTCCATTGCCCGCTGTTCCAATTCGGGTTCGCCGTTCACAAGCCAGACACTAGATCAAAACCAGGCATTGTTCCCAGGAAACTCAATATTCATTTGATTTCTCACACACACGATGATATTGGATGGTTGAAGACTGTTGATCAGTACTATGTTGGTTCCAACAACGCCATCCAGGTCCTCTATCTCTCTATATGCATGTGTCTGTGTGTACATAATATATATTACATCAGTATCTCAAATTTTTTCTTTGCTTTATTATTTGATTTTAAACTCGATGGCACCATATCCCCTCATGTATGTATGGGTTTTGTTTTAATTATTTTTCTTCTGTAATTCAATTTTATGACGAAGGTCTGTAATTCTTGTTTTTTAAACTAAATCCTATTAGGTGTAATTCTTTTTTTTTTTTTTTTTTTAAATATATATATATCTGAATAACTTCTTTCTCTGTCATTCTTGTTTTTTAAACTAAATCCTATTTGGTGTAATTCTTTTATTTTTTATTTTTAATATATATATATATATATCTGAATAACATCTCTCTCTGGAATAGCTTCTCTCTCTCTGTGAAATAGCTACTGCTATTTCTTGTGCTACAATTGGCATAAGAAATAGCAAAATTGGCATAAGAAATAGCAAAATAAAAAAGTAGCACGTGATATAGCTTTACATTAGAGAGCCTATTTTTAAGCTTATCCGCTATATTTTGAATTGGCAGCCCATGTAACAGTCCCATTGGAGATGCTCTAAAAGCTCTTGGATGGATGGAGTTAACCGTTCTTTCGGAATTACTTTTCTACCCTTATTATATCTATATTTTATTACAAATACAATGAATTTTGAAAAGACAAAAACACCCTAAGTGTTTATTTACCATCTTTCCCCCTCTTTAACCTTTTGCAGGCCCAGTTTTGGGACAACAAGAGAGGATGGTGGCGGTACTTGTGGGGTGAGGATGGCGGAGGTTATGGGGTGAGGATGGTGGTGGTGAAACTATAGGTTGTGGTGGTGCCGTGGTGCAGTCCTTGCCTTCGCTGATTATTCGCCGGAGTTTGACCACGTACGTTAATTTCCTTCTGTCCTATGACCTTCCTGTAGTCCCTAGAATATTTAACTTATAAACTCAAAAGGACAATGGTGCCCTCGTATCGTCAAACCCATAACACTAGTGCATTATGCATCAACACTTTCTCGTCAAGCCCCGCCGTGACCTGCCGGTCTCGAAGATGTTTTACCAGCGAGAAACGACGAGAAACGGCAAGCTGAACTGTGAGATTGAACCGACCGGCGATGAAGCAACTGAACGGCGGTGAGGAGGACGACAGGACTGTTCAACGAGCAAGGAAAGATGGGTCTGCGGTCGATACTCAATTAGTGAGCTAGACCCAAAAGAGAGTTTCGATGCTCAATTAGTGAGCTCGGCTTGATCGGAAAGAGAGACACCGACAAAGAACTCCATTAAAGACCAGTGGGCATGAAGAAGAAACTGAAATGCGGTGAAGAGGCGAGCAAAGAGGTCCTCGAAGAGAAGCAAGGATGACGGCAATGATGAAGGTCTGAACGGCGAGAAGCGCGGATGGACAGAACCCGCGAACAAGAATAAACATAACAGAATCGGCAGCGAACATGGACGAACAGAACTGCGGACGACGGACTGACGGCGACGACAAAGTGTTCGGCGGTGAAACAAGTTTGATTTTGTGGTGTCTATGGCCTGAATATGTATACATATATTGAACCCGAAAAGCTTAAACGAAGACGAGAGAGGAAGTTCTGGCAGACCAAAGCCAGAGTAGAGCAACACCGACCTAGTTTCAACTGACCCAACGGTGTAGCTCGAAGCAACCACGACTAAGCTCAATGCGACGAGCCCTCAAGCAACGACGAGCTCTCAAGCCTCGGCGAAACCCATATCTGTCTGGCAATCTCCATATTAAGTTTGACGAAGCACTCAAGCAAGATGACTCAGTTGAGAGGATGCTATGCAGATTCGATTCAGACTGGCGAAGAGAGACTCAGTTCTCACCGGAGAACCCAGTTGCAGTGTAACTGTTCGGATGGCATGATAGATACAGAGAGAGAGGGGGAAGAGAATATGATAAGAGAGGAGAAATAATTATAAGGGTATTTTAGGCATTTTAATTGCTTTATTTACCGGGCTTGTAAGGGTAGAATGATGGGAATTTGTGAATTAAAAATTGCTGACATTATCCTTTCCTGTTAGTAATAGTGCTTTTTCGTTGAGGGAGGGTGGTTTATGTTGTCGACGTACAAACTTTGAGGGAAGTCAGAATTATTTGACAAACCAGAGGAAAGGTCAATGTATGATCTCAAAACCTTATGAAAGGTCTGTGTAATAATTCCTTACAATTTTAGCTAATTTTATAGAGAGAAAAGAACATTTTGGTAAACAAGGAAGGAATAGCCATTTCAAATATTATAAGTTGGATTTCAAGACCAAAATGTGTACTACAATATGAGTGAAAGTTAAAATTACAGTGTAAATATAAGGAAAATATAACCTAACCTCGGAAGTATTTGTGTAATTTACCTTATAACTGCACATAACTTAAAAAGTGGTACGTCCCATGTCATTCTGGTGGTTGAAGCCAATTTTGTAAGATATCCATAAAAATAGACACTTGCCTCACCCATCACCAAAACCTAATACAATTAGGTGTAAATTACCCCTAATACAATTAGGTGTAAATTACCAAAGACTCCTAGTATCATGTACTCCTCTCGTCTTATAAAAAGTGTCGCGGTCAATTGTCATCAGAAGCCCAATGAATTGTTTAGTTCCTGTTAGTTTGAATTGAGGTAGTGAATTACTTGATCCATGTTTAAATCGGGTAACTTAGGCAACCCCTTACATGACATTTGACTGATAGAACAATTTGTCTTACAGATAATATATATATTTATTTATTTAACGTACAACAGATAATATATTGAAGAACTGAAATTTTACCGTGATATTTGATGGTACGTACACTGAAGAGGATGCAACTTTCAATTGGATTTGAGTCTTACTTTTGAGTCTGCAACAAGGGTGCACATGAATTCAACTGTGATTCAATCTAATTTCGTGCAGATTAATCAGTTTTAATTTATAGTTAAACCGTTTTGAATGGTCTCTTAAAAAGTGAAATCGTAATGAACGGATACTCTATCTAATCCAATCCTACCGATTCGATTTTGACACTCGGTTCAATTTGATTTTAGTTTTTTTAAGAATTGTAATTGAATTGATTATGCTTTTATACATAATATGAACGAATCCCATTCCCAATGTACTAGGTAGGTCCTAAATCTGAAAAGTTTCCGGGAAAAAAAGAAAAAAAAAATCTGAAAAGGTTTTCTTTTATTGAAGTTTACAAATCACTCTGCTACATCTGTTTGATTCGTATCGTTAATTCCAGTAATTTAAAATTCATGCAAAGGCTATTTTTGTAAAAAACACAACACACCCCGGTAAAAAGCAGCGCAGAAAGTTACAAAAAATCACACATTCAAAAGTTGTCCAAACCTCTGCACACACATACAACCATATAAGTACTGTATATATCATAGTTACATGTTATGCACTTTGCTCACAGTTTCCCATACTTGCAGTGTCTCAGTTATGGCGGCACTAGCAAATGAACAAGAACAACCACCCACCACCACCACCACCACCACCACCGCAACCATACAACAACCACTACCACCCTCCGATGAGCTGAAGCTTCTATCCTCCTACTTGGGTCTCAGCTTCACAATTTTTCTTGGGTTCATTCCAAAATCTTCCATCTCTTTGGTCTCGGCACTTCAATCTCGCAACAGAGACCTCTCTCTCAAGCTCACCCAAGCCGATGACCAGCTCAGGCAGCTTCACTCACGCCGGAAAGAGGACTCCAAGGCCAACGCGCGCGTCGTCGAGATCTTCGCGAGCCACCGCCACGCGTGGCAGCAGGAGGAGAAGCGGCTGTTGCAGCAGATCGACGCCGCCTCGGAGGAGATCGCGCATCTGAGGGCGAAGATTGAGGAGTTAGAGAAGGTGGAGGCTGAATTGAAGGCCAATGTGGAGGAGCTGAGGCGAGAGGTCGTCGAGAGGGACGAGCTTTTGAATTTCATGGCGAGGAAGTCGGAGTTTCAAGATTCGTCTGAGGGGGATGGTGGTGGTGGTTGTGGCGGCGAGTGTTGTTCGGAGGGGGTTTCTGGGTATGGGAAAATTAGGGTTTCGGAGGGTTTGGATCCGGTGGCGGAGGAGTGTTTTCCTGGGAGAGGGGACTACAATGTGGACCAAATTGGTAGTGTGTATGGACAGAGCAATGGGTTCAGTTCTGAGTTCTTAAATTCTTCTTCCAAGTTTTGGACTGAGAGAGCTAGTATCTGGCAGGTTCGATTCAATTTTTACACTCCTTTCTTTTTTTAAACGAAAATTTGATATACTCACTGAATTAGTACAGTTCTGCACATTGTGAAAAATCTCTGGAGAAAAGAAAATTTTCTTTTGTTTGGTTGCTGAGAAGAGAAGAGAAACATGAACCTTCTTTTGTTCTACTCATTGTTTTGGCTTGTTAGGGTACTTTAAGGGTTGCGTTATTGGGTCATACTTTATCAGCTATTAAATGGGTGTTTTATTTTGCTAGAAAAAATGTAGGTCTTTTCCAGATTTCAAGTTGAATAGTTCAAAGAGAAACACTATTAAAGAATTGACAATCATCAGTAGATATATACTCAATTCTAAAATTCAAACTAAACTCCGGTTGCCGGAAAATGATTGTCTATGCCATTGATTTTCAAAAAATCTTTGTAATATGTATAGTAGGAATTTTTCTTGTTACAAATAATCTCTTGGACCATCAATCCAGAAGGATTTATTGTCTATGAATTTCAAAATCTTGTACTTACCTATTCATTAATAATCTTTCTATCAGAGTCCATATTGTAACTCCCAATTCATCTGATCCTCTGTCCTTCCCTAACTGGAAATTTGTCTTTATTCATATATCTATAATTTAAAGATATTTTTATCTTCTTTGTGACCACTCATTACTCAAGGTTTGTGTCTATACTCCCCATAAGTTATATATATATTTATATATATATACACACACACACACACACATATATCACTCTTACTTTCAGTATGTTTTACCTTACCTTTGTACTTCATCATTTGGCTGGACCACCCTTATTAAGGGACACTGTTAGACATCTCTTTCTTCCAACCACAACTTTTGTCATTTTTGGACACACATTGTGTTTCAACTTATTTCAAAACCTTGTGAAGACAAGAATTCTTTAATGCCCTACTTGCTTGGTGATGATACCACCCAATTTTAGATTCTTTCAGTTCTTCAGAATTAAATGAGATTTGAATTTACTTCATAGTTACTCCAGAGTCTAATATTATCACTATCCAGTTGATTTACAATGTCAACTTGTTTCAGAAATCATCTACCGCCATGAATGGATGTTTGTTTTTTTCCTCTCTGCTTTCAGTTTTCCTGTTGCTACTTTTTCATGACGGTTTTGTTTTTCTGTTTCTTTTTATTTTATTTATTTATTTGTTATTATTATTTTTTTGTGGGATGTAAAACTTGTCATCCTAAGAAACTTGCTAAATGGTTTCTTTTATTTGCTCATAATGCAATGGCTCCGGATTTGTACATTGGAAAAGACATGTATATCTATAGGGCATTCAAACACAAGTCCACTACAAAAAAATTATGCTGTGCCGTTATCTGATTGCATTGCTGTTTAGAATATAAAATTTGCCATATATCAGCACTAAAAATATGATACGAAAATTGATTAGTGTTCCACTTAACCAATCTTTTCATTAGGACACCATTAGACATTCCCTACTCTTTCCCTTGCCTTTCATGACCAACTTGGTGGGGCTTTTGACTTTTGGAATTTATAAAAGACTGTAAAAATCGCTTAAAGGCTCAACAGGTGAAAATATTTCCAGTGTTTGTTGATGTCAAATTCTTGTTCTTGCAGGATGTACAGTATGAATCCCTTGAATCACCATATCATTTGAAGCACTTTGTAGCAAGGTAAGTTCTACAGTCTGGACACAGATCCTTTTGCAAGTGTGTATGACGTGTATTTGAAGTCGAACTAATGAAGGACAAATTTTTCTTGCACAGAAGGGAGTCCCCTTGGAAGGTAGATGGCGAAGCAACTGGAGTTTCCTCTAAACTAAAGTTACTTGAACAGGAACTGCTGAATTTGGAAACAGTTGGTAAAAGTGACCTATCAAAGTTACCATCACTGATGAGAAAGCAAGCAAAGAGGTATCAAGCTCTTTCAGGGAAGATTGATGATCTATGCAGAAGAATGGTAATACATAACAACTTATAATGCTTATATACTATTATATATCATACTATATTTTGTTTAATCTTCTATTAGAAGTTTAGAACCATATAATCTGCTTGAGCATGTTATGAAAAGAAAATTCGTTACTCAAATATGCATGGCAGCTATTTAGTTGTTGAAGAAGATTAACATGGAATGTGGCAGAATATGTAAAATTATTACATGGAACACCATAGTCTTGCATACTGAAAAGTTGCCATCCTATAAGAAATCCTGCCAATCGAATTAAAGATGTAGAATATTATTCAATGACAATGCTGCTGAAATGACATATTGTCTCTCCTGGTCACTCATGAACCAATTCTGTCAAGACTGGTTTAAAATTGGGCATGATACCAGAAACCATACCATGAAGGAGGTCGCATTCATATAAAATTCCAAATCCCACGTGAGTTTCATTGATGGATCAGATGTCCCACCATGGCAGCCACATGATAACGGACTGCTATTGAGCTGAATCTAGTAGATTCAAATTGCAGGAATTCTAAGAATGTTAAATTTAATTGATAACAGTAAGGCATTGGTTATTCTTGTCATTATGAACGATTCAGGATATCTTTTAATTTAGTTTATACGTCAGGAAGGTTTACTTGTTTAGTCTCAGGTAACCTTCTTAGTGATGAAGACGTACCTCTTTCTTCTATTCTGAACTCAATTCTATTGATTGATTTATAAAAGCATATGGCCATTTTAAGACGGTGTGAACACATTATTTCTTCATTAATGTTGAAATTGTCTGTTTTGTACTACCCGGGCTGCTTCTCGGTCCAGGTGGCTGGAATTTATTGTTGGTTTGGGTGGTTGGAATTTATTGTTGGTTTGTGCAATGTATCTTCTACAGATGTTGAGGCAACAAGGGCATATATATGAAAATGTTAAAACCACACAGATTGAACATATTATGTTTTCATAAATGTTTAATTTTTTAAAATTTTGTATCACCTCCGGCTGCTTGTGGATGGAATTTATTGTTGGTTGCTTGTGCAATGTATCTTGCACGGATTTGAAGCTACTGTAGTAATAGAGAATAAATCTTCTATACTCCACCCAAAGGTTGATAATAAGTAACAACTAAATGTGAGAAGATTCATTTATGAAGTGGACCCCACATGCATTTACAAACTCAATACTCAAAACTTCCCTCAATCTCCTTTTCAATGATTTATGATTTAGGTATCCTTGTAGTATATTTTCAAGTGGGTTTGAAATTGGTCGTCAGTTGCAATTCTCTCTCTCTCACACACACACAAGCACATAAACACATGGATATACATGTACATCCCGTTTATTTTCCCCATTTTTTGGACATTCAATTTGTGATGCTATTATTGATCTACAATGAGTTATGTTGCTGATTTTTGCTTCTTCTTCTTCTTCTTTTATTTTTTTTATTTTTTATTTTTTATTTTTTATTTTTATCGATTTATCGCAGCAGGAAAGTGATCCATGCGAACCTACCCTCAGTACAGAGTTCCGTACACAAAGACAAACAGAGTTTTTGCTTGAGGCATTTCGATTCCAGCAGCGAGCATCTGAAACCGGACAGAAGCTTATGTCATTACAAGCTGAGACAGGGAAGAGCTATTTTGGTGATGAGCTGGAAGGCCAGGCCAAGCTGGCCACTAGGCGGTCCTTGGACTCCATTAGAAACAACTTCAAAGAAATCCAGAGAAACTTGGAAATATGGTTGGCCAGAATTATTGGAGATCTCGAAGGGATTCTGGCCAGAGATGGTGCTTCGCGTGTAAGGGACTACTATATTTCTAGATATCCTTTTGTTCAATAGAAATATCCACTGATATTCTCGAATCTTGACCTAACAAATATATATATATATATATATATATATATATTTCCTCTTTTGGTGATCCAATGATCAATGCCATTGAAGTGGACTGCATATATGAAATAGTTTTATTGTAGAATGGAGACATCATGAAAGAAAAAGTAAATCATAAGGAGTTAGTGATCACGCTAGGAAGAAAGGTAGGTTGTGAGTCCAGAACCAAAAGGTTGGGTTTGCAAAGCTGCTCAGAATGTGTAGCTTTTTTAATTTGCGGGTGATGCAAGCATTTACTGGTTTCTAATGGAGTTGTTGTCACAAGAAGCAATATGAAAAACAATGTGGTAAATTACTCTGACGCCCCAGAGGTTTGTCATATTGATATAAGTTAGGTTTTTTTTTAACAATGAAATCCTCTAAGTTTGATAAAGTTAGTAAATAAATTCAGCCATACGACACATGGTGAATTGACACTGTTACCTTTTGACTTATTAATTGACCTATTAAATGAATTACATTGCCTCAATTGCAGTGCCAACAACTCAACCGACAACAAATGCTCACATAATTTAATTGATTGTGCAAGATTTATATAGAAAAATCAGCATGGAGATATAAATACTTGCAATGTTTTTATTTTTATTTTTATTTTTAAATACCTGCAATGTTGTAAATGTAAAAATTAGTAGGGAAAATTATATTTTGGTGGTCAAAATTAAACATAATTGGTGTAAAGTGACCATAAAGTCAAGAAAAGGTGAATAGTCACCAAATCTAAAATTTAATTATTAATAAGTGACCATTTGATAGTTTATTACTTAAATAACCTTGTATAATATATTATTATGTAAGTGGACAAACTTATCATGTATATTAAGCTAAATAAATACTTACTTAAATTGACTAACAAAGAAAGATAATATATTAAAGCAACAATTTGAGAAGGACCGCCCCTATAAATATTATATAAAGAACATTTTGGGATGGAATTCTATTATTGATTTGTCACTGTAAATATTATGTTTTGCAATTATGGTGGAGAGGCTTGGGAAAGAGAATGTTCATAAAGAAACCCTAATTTTTTAAATTGCTAAATTGGATACTAAAAAGGAAAAAGAAAAACGTTGGACAAGAGAGAGAGTAGGAGATGAATTTAATGAGTTATTATTTGTATTGGATGACAATTTTGTCATCTAAAATTTATTTTTAAAATGTTTATCAAATATTTAAATATTTTTGATCAAATTATCCTTAAATGGTCACTTAATATCAATTAAGGTTCAATATTGGTTACTATTCATCTTTTCTTGATTTTAAGGTCACTATAAAGTAATTATGTTTAATTTTTGTCACCAAAATATAATTTTCCTAGAGTCCTGCAATGTTGTAAAGGTAAAGATGAGGTTTTCTATGGCCATGTAAAATATTTCTTCTTCACAATTTCTTTCTTGAATTGTAAACCGAGATTTATATATGTATGTATTGGTTTGAGGGGTCTCACCATCTCTCACGCACTCCAACATCACCTTATTCCCATGCCAATTCTAAGAATGAACAGTTCTTATCTGTAATCCTCAACTAGCTCTCCTATGCAGCATCATTTGCATATTAAATGCTACTCAGTAAATATTTATCCACACGAGGTGTGTTCGAAACCAAGTGCTAAATATTCCATAGAAAAAGAAATTGAAATAATTAAAAAAGAAAAACAAAGGCAAGCAAAAATATTGCAGAGATTACAGTCACATGTAAGATTGCTCAATTTTTAATATATGGTTTCGTATAAACCAAGTACTGTGAAAGTAATTGGGAACCCAAAATCAAGTGGGAAAGAAACCTCTTCCTTTCACGTTTGCGAAAATGGAAGACAAAGGAGGATTGTCAATAGATTATTAACAGTAGTTGAAGCAAAACCACCAATTTGATTGGTAATTTGGTACTCGAAACCATTCTAAATAGAAATGAATGGGTAAGGTTAGAAGGGCAAAAAAGTCCTTTTAGAATTCTAATATTTTACTGTTTTAATGGATTAAATATTGAAGCGTAATATTGTCTTTTTATACCTTTTTTGGGGATTGTTGGGCTGCAATTTTTGAAAAGGAGTGTCATTATTAAAAAAGTAACCAACTTATATTAATACACACCAAGTAAAAGTAACCACAAAGTGTCAATGAAAAAGTTGAAGGTTTGTACAATTTGATGCATTGGTTAACATTGGTATGTGAAAAAAGAACATGTTCACGTTGATAACTTGAAGAATGTTTTCAGAAATTTTGAAAACCATAAAACACATCATCACTTCCACTTTTTAGGTTTTGCCATCCCCAAATTTCCAATTCACACACAAACACACACACAGCGCCGCAGCCAGCATGTTACTCCAATTCCATTTGGTATGATCATACGCAATTAAAGGACCCAATACATCTGATTCAATAACATAGAAATTCAACACAGATACAGTACCAGTACGGAAGCTCCTAATGTTTATTATTACTAGTATTTTTTCATATTTTCTTCCTACACAAGATTTAGGAAGAAATGCACAGTTACATAAAATCAAGCAGAAGCAGTAGCAGCTTCTTCCTGCAACTGTTTCACCTTAGTGATATAATCACTCATTGCTTCCTCCTTGGATTTCCCTGCCATACGTATGGTAATTATAGTGAGCAGCCATTCAAACAAAAATATATACGAAATCAAAATTTGCTATACCGTCCTCATAGCTCAGATAAGAAAGCATTTTAAAACTATATATATATATATATATCCCAATACCTTCAACAGCCTTCCATGCATCCCACTTAACCCTTTCCCTCATGTTGAAAAAGCCAGGACGGTCTGCAGATTGGATACAATTAGCAAGATAAGGCCGAATTGCATTTGAGAGAAAACAAGCAACCCTAAAAGCAATAATAATATGCTCTTTATTCAAGTGTATTCAATGGGAACACAATACTAACCGGTATTCACCGGTCCAACCGTGGCTTGCTTGTAGAGTGCATACAGACTAAGCTTGTTTTCGTTGGAAGTATTCTCGGGCAGGGTCTTGGCTTTCTCAGCATACTCCTCGAATTCTTCCTGTAGGCCCCAAAAAGTTCAAGTCTGATCTTAATTTTTATTGGCATGTATGAAAACTTGGGAACTAAAATGCTTGCCATAGTTGTATACAGGGCATCTGTGTCGCACCTTCAGTCACATACGGTTAATGCAGTGGAATGAAATTTCCATTACCCTTATCCATTCCTTTTCTATTATTTGGAGAAGGCATTCGAAAGCTAGAATATCTATTCCATGAGAGTGGCCATTCTCAATTTCTCATAAAAAGTAGGAATGTCCGATCCTCACTGTGAGATGAGGAATGGACATTAAGTTATGGATCCGAATGGTTCAAATTTAAAACCACATAATTCCCTCAGTTCCACTTCAGGAAAAATTTCCACCATTACCTTAGGATATTTTTCTATATACTTTCTCTCTCGCGTTTACCACATTATTTCTTTTCTAAACAAGTGAGATAAAAGTTCTGATCTGATTTGTGTTCCTTACTTGAATTTCATCCCTGCCATTTCTCCCTTCCAAAAGGACTAGTCACTTAGGGGGTTCAGGGTTCACTTGATTCAAAGATTAAAGTAACGATGGTCGACGGACCTGTTCCATACGCAAAACTACTAGTGATTTGTGGGGTTCCCTGCACTCATTTATCAACCCTAAGATCAACTAGTTTACATCCCATGTGGGACAAAACATATCTACGCCACCTAAAATATGGTGTCTTTGGGTTTGCTTTTTTAATTCTAATTTTTGGTATGAATTGTGAACAACATGTATAAAAATAAAATTTGGGAATTGAGCAAAGGTGATTTATTTACTTCATAAGGGAGAATCAAATTATGTATTAAGCCTTGCACCTTCCAATACTTGGAAACAATTAACACGAGTACAACTATGTTCAGGAAAAAAAAATGTTACAGCCTCCCAAACAGCCAGAAAATGAAGGAACATAATAATTATTATTTTTCCTAAAAATAATATCTTCCCAGATTAAATTCAAACATATTTATAAGAGAACCTTTCATTTAAACAAATTAAATTGAAGAAAACAATGAAGCTTAAAATTAACATCAATCAAAACATGAACGAACAGATCTGTATAAAATACAAAGTAGAATCATATAGTTCTGTCCACAGATTCAACTATATATCACAATGTTAGACGAAACCAAAACCTAAGAGATCGAAAACAAAACCCCCATTTCCTAGTACTTCATTATCTAGATGTGAACTAATTTCCAACGAAAAATCACTAAATCTGAACCAAAAGGACGATAAAACAGCACTATTTAGTTCAAATCCAAAGCCAAACAAAACCACACATATATAGAAACAACATGTAAAATCCAATCAAAACACATGGAGACAAATTTACCGAAACAAATAGAACAGGAAATGAAGAAATCACAAGATATTGAAAAGTGAACCGTTCGATTATAAAATAGATGAAATAACTACTCATACCTTCAAACCCATTTTTTTTCTTTCTTTGAAGCTCTCAGATTTTTTCTGACCTGCTTCAATCTATATACCACACGCAAGTGTGCCGATGAGTTGTGCTGGTGGTGGCTATATATATATATATATTTATTTATTTGTGTGCACGTAAATATGAGAGAAAGATTTAAACAAGAGATTTACAGAATGTTGAGTACGGTGGATGAATTTCGACTTGCTCCACGCACAGTGTTGAGTACGGTGCCCGTTTGATAACGGAAGTTAGTATTTAATTATAATAAATTAAATATGTTTATAGAATTAAAAATGTTGAATACTTAAATTTCATAAAAATATAATTCTTAATTTATAATTATTGCTTAAAATTTTAATGAATAAATTACACTTACCTCTCAAGGTTTTGACAATATGCACTAATCTCTTTTATTGTTTGGCAAATTACACTTATGATAAAATAACAAAAGTGTCAGTTTGAATTAGGGATTTTTCCTATTAAAATACTAAAATTATTAATTTAACCTTCTAACTACCAAAATAATTCTCTAAAGCTGTGTTTTTCCTTTTGTCGGGTCATCCCAATATGGTTGAGACAATACGAATGATCATATCACGCATTAACAACACTGAATGTTGAACTAGAAGGTGCTCTTCCAATCCTGTCGATGGCAATAGGGTAAAGTGCAATAAACACTTCTTAATTAAAATAAGAAAGCTGTTGAAAATTATACAAAATAAGAAAAAATTTAAAATAGGGTAAAGTGCAATAAACCCCCCTTAATTATATCCCTTTTAGCAAAGTACCCCTCTTAGACTACTAAAGTAGCATAAAACCCACTTGAACTTAGCCCTTTGGTTGCAATTTGCCCAATCCGATGACTGGCCAGTCACGTGATAAACCAAATTTAATTAAATGACCATATAGCTTTTATGAAAAGTAAAAAGACCATAGTGCACTTCTATTATTATTCAACCCAATACCCATCCAAACACACCCTAAGGTCTCTATCTTCATCTTCCTAAATTTGTTGCTCGAACCAATTCTCTCTATATCTCATTCTGCCTATATATATACATACACACACACATTTATATCGTTCAATTTTGCGAAAGAATGTGTGCTTTGAGATACAATGGTAGACGTCGGAGGAATTGCATACGATCGTAGAGATTAGAGGAATTGCAGAGATTAGTGACGACGTGGAGGTAGTTCTTGCCCTCGTTGATTTGGAGAATGTTAGGGTTTGCACTCAGGAGCTGCAAAATCTTCGGTTCCTTTTCGAGGAAATTGCGATCGGTCTGATCACAGAGTTCGCATTTTTTTTATTGATTTGCATACGAAGAAATAGCCGGAGACTGGAGAGAAGTAGCAGTAGACGACGCCAATACTTATATGCCCACAACAAGAATCACAGTTGAAGTGAACAATTGAAAATTGAATTATAAAATCTGAAGTTTGAGTGTTGGAAGTCTGAAATTGGTTCATTTACCGAGAAAAAAAAAAGTCTGAAACTGGGTTTGGAACTTTGGATGATGATGAATTGGATCTGTCAAAGTAAAAAAGGAATTATGGATGCCTAAATTCTTGCATTGAAACATGCCTTTTTACTCATTCCAAAATCCTAATATAAAAGAGAAAAAAAAATTGTTCACCATGCTGAGCGTCTCTCTCCTTTCCTCTCTCCCTCCCACTACATATACCTTTTTCTGAATTCTTTTTTCTCTAATTTTTTTTTTCCCTTCACGTCAAGAAATTGACGAGTGTTGTGGGAGGTGATAATTGTCCCGTGTTGTCGAATATCATTGGTTTGTTGCGATAAGGTTGTATAGATGTCAAAATTTTAGTTATTTAGCCAATTTTATAACAATACCTCATTATTAGAGAGCAATTTGTTATGCAAAGGGTAAAAAGGTCTTTACAAATTTTCGGTGATGAAAGTGTACCAGAAATACCTTCTTTGTCCTAAAACTTAACAAATCACATAGTTGGAAGGGGTTATTTGTAGTTGGTGGGGGTTTATTGCACTTTACCCTTTAAAATTATGAAAACAACACAAAATCCTACTACAGAATCGTACCGCAGAAAGCGAGAGAGAGGTTAGTTTGCCGTTGGCGGTGGCAATAGTGAAGAAGGTTTGTCTTATATATTTATATCCTTATATAAATACGTAGAGAGAGAAGAAGGGCAATTCGGTCACTTAATTATTCTAATATTTTGCATTAAAAATTAATAAAATATTGAATGGATAACTAAACATTCATACTTTTTTAGGCTACGTTTGGATTCAAAATCGGTGTCATTATATATATGAAAAAAAATGAGTTAAATTGTTGGGTTAGTTTCACTAACACCCCCTCAGGTTTGGCTAAATATCACTCTTAAACATCTTTCGAAAATAACTATCACTTAGGTCTAATTTTACTTTTCCGTCACAATTTTCTATTTAAAACATGAGAAAAGACAACTTTGCCCCTAATTTTTTAATCCTGTTTATTCCAAAATATCATGTAACTTAAATGACCATTATAGCCCTCCTTATTACACCCTCCTATCACTACCACCCACACACCATCCGGCAGAAAGCTAGCGTGTCTCATCAATTGCTTGCGATCTCATCGACGACAAGGAATTAGGCGCGATACCAGCCGCTGCGTGTAATACCCCCGGATTTTCGGATGCGAGTTAGCCAGGCCCACACCCAAATACCCGAGAATATAAAAAATAAATTGGTAATAATCGAACACAAAGTACAAAATAGATTAAAAAAAAAAAAAAGAATAAATAAATTTCTGAAAGAAAACTAAAATAATAATCCATTAATTAAAACCACATAATAGAATTATATTAAATAATAAATTATTCAGATACAATTAATCCTCCAATAATACAACTTGGGTATCTATACTGTGTGGACCACTAGAAATTCTCAAACAAAAAATCAATAGTAAACAACTGTCTACAACTAGATACTGAATCATAAAAGAAACTCCTATATAAACAATCCGGAAGAATAAAGTAGACGATCCCTGCTCAGCACGAACAATCCCTACTGCTGACGAATACCTGAAAATTAATGGTGGGTTAGGCCCGCAAATAAGTTCTACTCTACTACAGTCTAAGCAGAGATCCGATACACGTATACATCCTAGTCAATCCAACAATAGCTAGTAGTCTATATACATATACAGATACACATTATAGGACGCTCACTGGACTATAGGTTAGTCTCAACCTGAATAAAAGGCAACATGCAAATCGCACATAAAGTGGGCATGAGTACCTAGACCTACCAGGACACCCAAATGTCTACTATATTCAGTTATCCATCCTAGGCAATATACGCACCCAAACCATGATCCTAAGACTCAAGCCCATATCGTGGCAACATAATCATATATATATATATAATCCAGTAACCATTATATCCAATAAAAATAATCTTCTAACATTAATCCTCTATAAGTAATCCTCTATAAGTCATTCAACTTGTTCAAATGACCTGACTTGAATATAAGGAGGATTTAACATTTTAGTTAATCCATTCCCTTATACAAAAATAGGTAGGACTTAACTTCGTTGGTTAATCCGTCCCTAGAATGCCACCGTCCAATACCGGTGCATCAAACCACACAATCCAATACATGATGCAACAGATAAAGCAGTACACTAAATAATCCAAAATAATATGATAAAAATCACATATTGCATATACTTAAGCAAAATAATAACTCTAAATAACTTGCATTTAATATAACAAATTAACATGCATCTCAAATAGATTGTTTTAACCTCCAGGACGTAATTAAACTATTTAAATCTAATTAATTAATTAAATTAGTTTAATGCCAATATTCATCCATTTAAATTGTTAAATAATAGTAAGTAATTAAATCATCCATAAAATCCAATAATTGATGAAATAAATAAAATAAGACATCAATTAATCCAGAAACAAACATAATAGAAATCAGATAATTAGCTGAGTATATTATGCTGCTGATACATGATTAAAGTCATATAACATCCATTTACATTGCTAAAATAATACTAAGTAATTAAATCCTCCTTAACCATTAATAACATAAAAATTTAATTAAAATTTCATATTGTTCTAACTTTAGCATATTTGAATAATTTATGCATTCCGGGTATTTAACATGTCCATCGTAGCCATTTAAATCATCCAAATCGACCTACACAGCACTGAAATACCCCAATTTACCAAAACAGATCCTTAAAACTCGTTTATGCAAATTCTCAGCAAGGGAGCATGCTCCTTTTTCAATAGAGCATGCTCTGCCCACAATAGAGCTGCCTCCATTCGAATGGAGCCGCATCCACTTCCAATGGAGCCGCCTCCACTTGGAGTGGAGCTGCCTCTACTCCTGTTATCCTTCGTCTTCTTCATCTCCGGCGTTCTTTAATCATTCCGATCATCTTCTTTAAGGTTTCTAACCTCTGTTCTAAGTTGGTGGCTGTCGTCGCAAAGCTCCAAATTTGTGCAAAATAGTGTGACCAAGTTTTAAATTTATAAAATGCCACTACTAACTCTAACTACTAAATATAGCTAGGGTGAGTAGGGATCGTCCCAAGGGATTGTGGGCGTATTTGCAATAGAAACAATATATAAGGTTAGTAGGTCGAGTGATCAAAAGGTTATTTGTTTGGTTGATTAAACTACAATGTAAATGAATGCAATACTAAGCAACTAAAGTAAATAAAAGGTTAGAGAACAAGAGAGAGATGTCTTGGGATCTAGAGGTCACCACTAAACATCACCACTAAACATCACCATTCTAGACATTCAATGTGTAATAAATGAAGGGGAAACATGTGTTGCAATACAAAGAGGTGTGATTGATTGAATCAACCAGCATGAATTGACTCATTAAGCATACACTGTCTAAACAACTTAGTGAATAGCACAATATATCAAACTAAGCCATTAATCCTTCCTTTAAGTTCACAATCAACGCACTAACAAATTAGAGAATAATACTACTTGCATTCATAAGTATGAAACATCAAACAACAAGCATGGATTGTCCTCCCATCTAAGAAACTAAGGCAACTATACTACAACTAAACTAAGAACATGAAAATTAAACTAATTAAGCTAAGGGAGATACACAATCCATCAAGAAATGAGCATGAACCATCAAATAAATCACAAGAGTATTCTATTTAAGCACTATGCCT